GCGCATACTCCTGCAGTCTGTTTAGGCTTATAGTATAAACACTTCAAAAAAAGCAATCCAAAACAAGGTGAAGAACTAAATATCAACATTACTGTTCAAGCAAGATGGTTAGTGAAACCAGGGAAATGGCTCAAACATCCTTAAAGAGGAAGGTGTGATAGGAACATGGGAATGACAAACTGAGTCTTGAAGTCTGAAACCATTTTACTCCAGTTTTATGGTCTTTCACCAACTACAATTTATTCTATGCTTAGAGAAAATCCCTGTGAAATAACATCCATGTTACCAAAGCAGATGCTCAAATTTGCAGTGAAAAACAGAGAGAGAAACGTGTTTGCCTTTTTTGCTCAGGTAACAACAATCTGAAAGAAAACTTAGCAGCCACTTCAAGTTCTCTGTTTTTTTCAGCATGTGGTTAAAAACACATTGGAAACGTAATATCATAATAAAAACATGTTTTAGAAGATCAGAATTAATTCTGCAGCCATTGTCAGTCTCATTGTAGTTTGTTTAGAAGAAGAAAAGGATAAACACATTGCCTCAACAGATGTTTGTTGGAACTCACCATAGCAGTGTGCTTGACTCTTGTGTTCTCCCACATCAGTTATCCATTAGAAAATATGGATGGAAAGTGTGTCTGCTCAGCTGAAAGGGCATTAGACTTAAGTCTTGCTTCTTGGATCTCATTTACCTGTTTTATATTTTTTATAACATTTTTAAGGGCAGGAGCTGAAAACTGAAAATGGGGTACAAGATGGAAACACACCACCCACCACTAGTATGCCTTTTAACGGCTTATCCACAGACATAAGTGGAAGGGTCCCATCACAAAAGATACTCTGGAGGACTACTTGTATAAAATATTCAGCTTCTGCTTGCTGTGAAGTTTGTTTGAAAAGTGTACATCTTCACTGTGTACAACTCTTGTTTCCCCAGTCTCAAAAGACCCCTCTCCCTTAGCAGCTTGAGTTCACAGATGTTTGTCCCTTTGTTCTCACCACGAATACTCCTGGGTCATCCAGGGCTTCATTAAGCTTATGGATAGTGTCACTTCAGAAATGCTCATGGATATTTATCTTATGAACAAAGGAAAGAGCAAAGCTTTAGTGCCAGCAGACCAGGTAAGAAAGTGCAAAACTTTGAGCAGAGGTTTGCTGTTAATAGAAGACAACAATACAAAGCTATTGCCAGCTGTGGTGGGTTGATCTTGGCCAGCTGCCAGGTGCCCACCCAGCCACTCTGTTACTCCCTCCCCTCAACAGGGGAAGAAAATAAGATGGGTTGAGATAAAGACAGATAAAGACAGAGAGATCACTTACCAATTTCTGTCACAGGCAAAACAGACTCAACTTGGGGAATAGTAATTTAATTTATTGCCAATTAAAATAGAGTTGGATGGTGAGAAACAAAAACAAAAATTAAAACACCTGTCCTCCACCCTGCCTTTTTCCCAGCTTCACTCCTTCATTTCCAACTCCTCTACCTCCTCCACCCCGAGCAGCACAGGGTGGATGGGGAACGGTGGTTGTGGTCAGTCTGTAACAGCTCCTCTCTGCCACTCCTTCCTCCTCACACTTTTCCCTGCTCTGGTGTGGGGTCCCTCCCACGGGGTACAGTCCTTCAGGATAAACCTGCTCCAGCATGGTCTCTCTACAAGCCGGAGTTCTTTCCCCTGCTCCACCACAGGGTCCTCCATGGGCTGCAGTGTGGATATCTGCTCCACCATGGTCCTCTCCACAGGCTGCAGGGAAATCTCTGCTCCTGCACCTGGAGCACCTCCTCTCCTCCTTCTTCTCTCACCTTGGTGCTTGCAGGGCTGTTTCTCACATTTTTTTTCCTCGCGCCTTACTCCCAGGCAGCATTTTCTGCCCTTTCGTAAACATGTTTTCCCGGAGGTGCCACCAGCTTGGCTGAGGGGCTCAGCTGTGTCCTGCTGTGGGTCTGTGGCAGAGCCAGCTGGAACCAGCTAGAATGGGGCTCTGTCCGGCACAGGGCAGCCCCTGGCCTCTCACAGAGGCCACCCCTGCAGCCCCCCACTACCAAAACCTTGCCACACAACTTAGGTACTTCTGCAGTCAGAAAGGGGAAGAGCTAGGAGCAGGTCAGGGTCATGAAGGGGAGAGGAGATGGTTATGTCTTCAAGATCCAAGTGAAGGTCTCATTCCTGATCCTGAAATGCTGCATACATTCTGCTATGATATCCAGATATGTGATACCCAGATATGTGACCCCATATCCTCAGGTATGATAGGTATATTCTGATAGGGCTATGGAGTTTGAGGAGGCTGCAGGACCTGAGAAAGTAGATTAAATTAATTTTCTACAAGTTGAGTCTGTTCTACCTGCAACGGTAATTGGTAGGCGATCTCCCTGTCCTATCTCAACCCATGAGCTTTTTCATCTTATTTTCTTCCCCCTGCCCTGTTGAGGAGGGAGAGTGAGAGGGCAGGTGGGTGGGCACCTGGCAGCCAGCCAAGGTTAACCCACCACAGATACTAAGGTCTTATTAAGAAAATAGGCATTATGCTTTAAGAACTTTTCCAGAAAGTATCTTCAAGTGCTTGTACTGCTAATACCGAGCTGGAGATATTATCTCTTTGTGTTACAAGGTACATCCATGTCCGGTCTTCAGTCTTCTCCAATGCTCTATATCAGACCATAAAAATGTGCAGTCCTCTGTTCTTCATAACTCTGTCAGAATTAGAACACTATTTGCGTTGTACATTGTCAGTTGTGCTAGTGGAGTTATCTCCTTCAGAACTTTTTCCCTGTTGTCATTCTATGGTTATGTTTTACTTCATTTTACTTCAGTTTTCTGCATCTATCTTCAATTTTCCAAGATTGCTCGTAGCCCTATTTGCCACCAAGGCCTCCATCCCAACAGATGCAGTCAGTGTAGCTACCAAAAAACTGATAGCCCTGATTGTTGAATGATAAGTTTGAATATCCTCTCTTGAGAGAAGTGCTTACTTACTTGCTCCTGAATAGAAATTAGTTGGATTTTTTTCCAATCTGATCCGTCATCTTTTCAGGTGTATGGGCCAGGGCTGCTTGGAAAGCTTGCTGAGTCACGTCATAGTCACAGTCAGGAGATAGTCTGCATCATTAAGAGTCATCACAGATCTCTTCTCTAAGATCCAAAACATGGGATAATATTGCTTAAGTTATTTATGGTAGAGATATATGTACAGAGAAGCACTTACAGCAGAAAGCAATATTATGTGCCAAAAATTGCAGTTCTTCAGAATGTGTTGTCCATGTCTGTATTAACTAGCTGCTCTCCTTCTTCTCCTGATTCTTAGTCTTCCTTTGGGTACTGTTTTTCACAGGGATAGAGGATTATATGCGATAGACCGCCCTATTATGGCTGTGTGCAGAGGGGTGAAATATAAGCAGTCTCACCATTTAAAGCTACAGTAAAAATGCACTGGCCAGTGGGCTTTACGTATAAATTACTACCTACAGTGTGAAGGTACTAAGGAATAACATGACTACCTCAAAGTATTGCTATTCTTGCATAGTATCTTCTTTCAGTGTATCGTCAAGTTAAGTTCTAGCAGTCAAGAGCACACATAAAGCAGTCATTGGAAGTGTTCAGTTCTTACACTCCCCCTTGATATGTACACCTTCACTACCTGCTTTGCAAGTCACTGAACTTGCCATACCAGAATATGAAGAGGTGTTAATAATTATATCAGATTTTATGTAGGAAGCATTCATTCATTAAGACCAGATCTCATATTAGGTGATTATACTCCTAAGAGGAAAACAGGACTTGTTTGCGCTAGATGGACAAATAGAATTAATTGTCAAGTCCATAAGTTTTGAATGTGCTGCAGAAATGTACATCTTCTCATCTTCTCTTGCCTCTTTGCATTTTTTGTCGTGCTTTACTTCAGAGCAAGAAAGTTCAAAAAATACAGAAATGTCCTGTTTCAAAGTTTCAGAAGAAAATATTTTAGGTTTTCCATTCAAGTTGATGATTCATGATGATTTTTTAAGTATGCATTGTATAGCATAAGAAAATATTCTGAAAAAGGAAAATCAAAGCAAAATGATTAAGCAAAAAATATTTTTGTTGACCCCCACCTACATCTTCTCCAGAGTTTCTCTTGTAGGGAATGTTGAAGTTTTCAGATTTGTTTCTACAACAGAAATGAAAGTCAAAACCTGGAATTCCTTTCAAAATATCCTTGTTCTGATTGGAATGCCTAGTCTCAATGTAGGGGTATATGCACAGTATGCTACAAGTCCTGGTACTGCTCTGGACTTATTAAGGGATTGTGCTTCACTAGTATTTTCTTAAGAGAAACAGTTGTTATTCATGGCCCAATCTGTCTGTTTGTTTGTTTGTTCTTATTTTGTACCTCCTCTTCTTAGCGTTAAGACTCGACCTGTGCGAATGCCTCCTGGATACCAAGCAGATCTTGTTATTCAGTTGGTGTGGGTGGATGGTGAGCCTCCACAACAGATTACCAGTCTTGCTGTAAACTCTGCTTATGGACTGTAAGTAACTCAAAATGGAGGTTGCATTGCTTTATTGTTTATTGCACTAAATCATGTATTTTCCAGTTACACTTTGAAGTTTCCCGCAGACAATTAAAGCCAGAGTAAAAATAATAAAAAGGTGCTGTAACCCAGATTCTTGGGGAAAAATTATTTGAACTCACATGAAGATTGTAATATGAGATGTTAAACTGCCATTCTTGTCCATATTTTTACTATTCCTATTTAAAAGACTGAATCTTTTCACATTATTCTGTCCATCCTTTCCAATGAAATCTAATTACCTTTCAAATCTGTAATTTTTAAAGTTATTTTGAAAGGATCACCAAGGTGAAATAGATTTCATAGAAAATGGTGATGTGAGTAAGTGTTAAATGTCATTTACCATGACATCATTTCTTAGTTGGAAATTGTCTTCTGAGAACAGCATTTTTATTTCTGTGCTAATCTCTGTTTGCAAGAGGACCAGTGACCTGAAATTGAAAATTGAATAAGGAACATTCAAATGCTAAATTCTGTATGGAAATGCAAGTGAGCGTATCTGTGTGTATTTTTTTCCTCAGGTTCAATTTATTTGACAATGTTTAATGTTTTCTCTCACTGAGAGTCACCCAGATACATTAAAATGGTTTTCCCTGTAGAAGGTGTTACTCCAATAAAAACTATAGGCTGTAATGGGTGTTAGGGGTCTGACTCCTACTGATTTTCAGTAAGTCACTTGACTCTCTTCAAAGACTTTGGAAATTTTCTTTACATTTGTGCAAAAATATTTTTGTCTGGGGGCTGTTTTGTCAAGTCTTTGGCTTGAATTTCCAGCCAGTTTCCTATTCATGAACTCTAGAAGTTTCTTTTGTTTCACCATACCTAGATGCATTTGTCAACTGTGCAAATTGTTGGGTTTTGCCTAATTTGCTCCCTTGCAGGTCTCAGGCCTCAAGACAGCATCTGACTTTCTCTCACTTGTAAACTACTCTGACAGGTTGCAGTTCTCCTAGTGTACTCACAGTGGTTTCCTAAACATACCTGATTCAACCAAATGCTTTAAATTCCTTCCTTTGCTAGGAGCAGTAATAGTTTACAGGACAGCTTCATTTAAAACACCACACTAAGTACATGAGTGTTTCAGAAATAAATGCGTGTATCAATAAAATAGCACAATTACTTAAATTTAACTTTCCTACAAAAGCTACCCAAGAAAGGCCTATTTTTTTAAATCTCTTCTCTTCTCTCACCCTCTCTCTTGTCTCTAAACTTTTTCCTTGGGCCTATGACAAGGTACAATCCTATCTTTCATCAGAATTATTGTTTATTACTTTAGTTTTCTCCTGTTTTCTAGCCTCAATATGGAAAAACTGTGACAGTTCAGCATAAAGCTTGAGCATATGTCATTTTTTGCCATGCTAGTTGTAGAGTTATTTGGGTCATCTTTTGCCTAAATTTTTTTCCTATAATAATCAGTTTAACGAGGAGGAAGGTATAGGATAGTAAGTGTGTTCTGGAGTATCTACTTCCAGTATTCTTTTAATTGTTTTGATTTCTGTAACTATATTACAAATAATAGGAACTTAGTGTCCCTGATGTTACTGCAGCCATGAAACAGAACTAAAGCAAGATATAAAAAAAACTTAATCCCCACCAAAGATAAAAGACTTCAGACATTGTGAAATTTTATTTAATGTATTTTGTTTACTTTTAACAGTACCAAGCTACAAATTAGTTAACACCTGATTTATTTCTGTTGAAATGAATCATCAAAAAACTTCATCAAAAAAAAGAAAGGAAAAATTTACAAAATGCTTCAATTACAACTGAAGATTTACAAGGTTAAATACAAATAACAAATTTGTTTTAAAGTATATTCTGTTGGACTGAAAGCAATCTCCGATAATTTATTACCAGCTCATGTGATAAATATTTTCAGCCAATCTACATACTAATTATCAAGAAATGTTTGATGAGGATTTTATGGCATTTCTGTGAAAGATACCCACAGAATAGAACATCTCCTAGTAACTAGTGCTATTCATCACTCAAAATTGAGAAATTCGTTGTGCTTAGTTTGTATTTGATTTTATAATGACTTGGATATTAGCAATTTATCTTAAGCCTTGTTAATAGTAATGTCTGTCTAGATTTTCTTATCATTCCTCAGAAGAGTTATAATATTAATGAGCAATTTCTGATTTTTCTTGGTAAAATATTTTTTTTTAGGTATCAGAAATATATCCATGGTTGTGTGTGAACTTAGAGAAGTTTAGAAAAATACAGACCAGGAAGTGATGACCCATTTTGTGGATTTGCTGACCACAGAGTGAATGATCACTAGCTCTTCTTGTGACTCATGTTTTCCAAAATTAATAAATCTTAGGTTAATCATTTTCAAAATGCAGATGGCTATAATTTTCGTTGCCTACAGTATTAACAGATGAGATTGACACTCATCATTTTTATTCCTTTATTTTTTTCTCCACCTAGATCACAGGGACTTATGAACACAGGAACTGCTGTCACACTTTACACTAGTAATCTTCTTTACTTCAGTATTCTTTCTCTGACAATGCCTATTAACATATGCTTTAAAGCAAAAGACAAGAATGAAAAAAAACAAGTAGCAAAATAATTTTTTACTCTTCTTTATCAGCCAATTTTTGTCAAGAAACATGAAGACATATAAAACTTTGCACAGAAAGGTCTTCTGGCAAATGTGATGGATAGAGTTCCTTTTTATCCCAGGGAAACTCTGTAAAAATTATTTTGTTCTTCTATTAAGCAAAACAGGCTATAGTAATTTCTGAAACAGATATTACGCTACATTTATAAAACACGGGGTTCATTCCTCAGTGCACCTTATGATCTTTCCACATAAGCACAAAATATTGCCAAATAAAAGTGTATTTATACACACTTTAAGCTGGCGTATATGAGTAGCTGCTTAAGCTACAGATCAGTGAAGAGTCCACGGGGAAAAAGACTATGCTCATAGTATTTCCATAGATGTTGTACCAAAGTCAGTGTTAACTTAAGGGCAGAAAACATGGTGCAGTAACAACCAGTAGAATTTGAGCCACTGTTGTAGATGGTGCCTTAATTTCCCAGTTTGACAAATAAGAAAAACTCACCTCATTTTCACCCTTTACTGTTTCTATTTGCTGTATGGAACCCTCTTTTTTTATAACGGAAGCAGAAGAAGAAAAGGTACAACAGTGGAAAATGTTCTATCTACCCTGCTTCCCCTTCCTCCATCTCTTCTCTTCGAGGGACACCTGCAGGGAGGGTGTCCGTTGTTTTCACACACACAAATTCATATATCTCCTTTAAGATATTTTGGAGCTATATTAAGAAGAGTCAGATGGAGGTGAGGGCACAGCTCACTTTTATTGTGAACTGAGTGCTTAAATATCTTGCAGGGCTTTGAACAGACCACCTTAGTCACTTTTTACATAAAATGACAGAAGTTGATCGCAAATGATTCCTAATCTGATTGAGCATAGTTTGGGATTTTGAGTTTCTTTGTGGCTGTGCCTGTAATCCTTTCAATCTGGAAGTTAAAACTGCAGTCTGATAGAAAAGAAGATGCTTCTGTAGAATAATCGTCAGTATAAAGTATTCCCACTTAAATGAAGTCTCTAACAATGCAGTGCAAAAGTTTGGCATATGAATCCTATGGGTAGTCATATGCTGTGTGAAATTATTTTGCTATTAAATCTTAAATAGGTTTAATGCTGTAGTGAGATTTTTATCTGCTGAGATATATGGGTTTCCATATGCTATGGTTAACTTCAGACTTTCTCCCAGGTCTTACATACAGACGTGTTTACTGTCTTTTTGTTTTCTTCCTTTTGCTTAGATAGACATATTGCCTAATTCCCCCCCTCAACCTCCCCCCCCTTTCCAAGTTGGAGAAGAAGATGAACAGAAAGCAGTTTTATGGGAGAACAGAAAGTGCTGCTGGTCCAGTACAACTTCTTCCCTCTTTCTGAATCTGGTGTCAGAAGGGAATCAGTAGTAGCCATAAAGCAGAATCGGAGCAGAATGCTTCAAAAGGGAGTTTCTAGGCAGCAAAAGAAATAAATTGTTCCACGTCTTTTTCCTTATAACAAGACTGCAGTCCAGATCTTGGGCAATCTCACACCAGCTGAGAGATTTTGCTCATGTTTCAAAGCATCATCAAAATGTCAGTACTGGAAGCATTTCA